TGCTACCATCCCTACAGTGTTTAACTGAGTAACAATGTCAGCAGAGGTGACTTCTGGGAGAACCACTTAGACATCAATCTTAGTAACAACAATGATACAGAAAATATGAAAGTAAAGGTGATTTTTTTTAAAAACAATATATTTTAAAATTTTAACTTAAGGGTAAAATAACTTTAGTAAACATTCTAACCAATTACAGAGAAAACAAATTATTCAACAATGCTTTTATTAAAGTAAGATACATTCCTCTAAATCATAATAAAAGATGACAAATGTAAGAAGGTTTCAGAACTACACTGAAACATGTACAGACAACAGCTCAATCCCTGGAGATACAACAAAGGTTCTGTTTGATTATTTTCATCCCTTTGAAAGTAGAACAGCAGAACTTATAATTTGGAGGTAGGTAGATCCAAATGTAATCCTAGTCTTACCACTTCACAAACTATGAGATCATGAACATGCATTATCCTCACTTTTTTTTCATACCCATAAACTTAAGGTAATGGTACCTATGCTATGATATTTTCTTAGGAATGTAGTGAGATAACATGGAAGTGTTTATCACTCCAAGTCATAAGGAATGTTCAATTATAATTTATTACTAAAATTTCTGAAAGAGAGGAAATAGTAGAAAGCATCACCATTTTGGGTGCTTTAAAAAAAGTGCAGATGAGAGAGAATGGCAAGAGATGATATAAATCAAATGCAATTAATTTTAGGTAGGGCATTCAGCACTATAACTACAGGTGAATGTTAGAAAATAGGTGACTTATCACAGAATATCACAGAATAGAGAGAGCATACTCAACAACAACAACAACAAAAAAATTCCAATCATATCCTTTTTCCTTCTGCTTTTTATGGCAACATGATATTGGGGAAATTATTTAATTATTCTGGGCATCATATTCCTCCTATATAATACAAGAGTGAATTATGTGCTCTCTATCATCTACTCCAGCTCTTACATTCTCAAATTTTACAAGTGTAGTCACTTGATATACTGTGAAACACAATTTCAATGATTTTATGAATGTAATTATTTAAAATGGTAAAGTTTGTTTAGGCAAAGCATGTTTGTGTAATAGGTTTCCACATCAGATATATGATGTTTCTAACCTCAACATCAGCATTCCAATTAAAAAATATAATGTAGAAGCAGAATAATAGCATAAGCAAATAAAATAAAATATTATTTAAAAGTGACTAAAGAAGTAAGGAAATAAAGGGTTTACACATCTATGAATTATTTTAGGTACTTCCAAATTTGTTTATAGTTATTTTGAGGGTTCAGCAGAAGAGACCAGCATGTTTTACATAATTCCACTGATGAAAAACACTCCTCATTGATATTTATGCTGTCTGATTTGGGGGGACACTTATTGTCATTTCAGAGAAATGGCTGTGTACTTTGGAGAGTTTTAAAAATATGAGTTTTCCTTAAGCTGTGTATAATATTCACATCTCTTTCAGCCAGTGCTGGTAAACAGTGACAACAACCACCTTTGTAACAATGCTAATTCACATTAGCATTTCTAACTTACATTATAATCAAAATTAATGTAATCTTAAAAAATCATAGGTAATTATTTTGATTATTATTTTCCATTTCTGGGTATCACAGGACTCAATTGCTTTGTCTATGTATTCAAATAATTTGCTGTAATTAATGTGGATGATATAAGCACCAAATTCTTTCTCCTGTTACATCCAATAATTGGGGAAAACATTTGTAATGGCCCAAATTAAAATCAATGTGGCTAACATATGGAAATAACTAAATGCACATCAATAAATTGATGAATAACAAAAAGGTGAAAAAAGAGGTTTTATGCTAGGCAACAACATGAATAAACCTTGAGAACATTATGCTAAGTGAAATAGTCAATTACAGAAAGACATAGTTCCACTCATGGAAGGTATGGATAAAGTCACATTCATAGAATCAAAGTATGTAATGGTGGTTACCAGGGGTTGGGGAAAAGGGAAAGAGGGGAGTTACCATCACATGGATGCAAAGTTCTAGGTGACTAATATGAATGTGTTTTAGAGATCTGCTATACAACATAGTACCTGTAGCCAATATTAATGTACCATACACTTAAAAATTTAATTACTCAAACTAAAAAGTTTTTTCTCAGCAAAAGATACAATAAGAGAGGTAAATAGAGAGCCTACATCCTGGGAACAAATCTTTACTCCTCACACTTCAGATAGAGCCCTAATATCCAGAGTATACAAAGAGCTCAAAAAATTAGACAATAAGAGAACAAACAACCCAATCAACAAATGGGCCAAGGACCTGAACAGACACTTCTCAGAAGAGGACATACAGTCAATCAACAAGTACATGAAAAAATGCTCACCATCTCTAGCAGTCAGAGAAATGCAAATCAAAACCACCCTAAGATACCATCTCACTCCAGTTAGATTGGCAGCCATTATGAAGTCAAACAACAACAAGTGCTGGCGAGGATGTGGGGAAAAGGGTACACTTGTACATTGCTGGTGGGACTGCAAATTGGTGCAGCCAATTTGGAAAGCAGTATGGAGATTTCTTGGAAAGCTGGGAATGGAGCCACCATTTGACCCAGCTATTCCCCTTCTCGGTCTATTCCCTAAAGACCTAAAAAGAGCATGCTACAGGGACACTGCTACATCGATGTTCATAGCAGCACAATTCACAATAGCTAGACTGTGGAACCAACCTAGATGCCCTTCAATGGATGAATGGATAAAAAAAATGTGGCATTTATACACAATGGAGTATTACTCTGCATTAAAAAATGACAAAATCATAGAATTTACAGGGAAATGGATGGCATTAGAGCAGATTATGCTAAGTGAAGCTAGCCAATCCCTAAAAAACAAATGCCAAATGTCTTCTTTGATATAAGGAGAGTAACTAAGAACAGAGTAGGGTCGAAGAGCATGAGAAGAAGATTAACATTAAACAGGGATGAGAGGTGGGAGGGAAAGGGAGAGAGAAGGGAAAATGCATGGAAATGGAAGGAGACCCTCAGAGGTATACAAAAGTACATACAAGAGGAAGTGAGGGGAAGGGGAAAAATAATACAAGGGGGACAAACGAATGTCAGTAGAGGGGGCAGAGAGAGAAGAGGGGAGGGGAGGGGAGGGGAGGGGGGATAGTAGAGGATAGGAAAGACAGCAGAATACAACAGACACTAGTATGGCAATATGTAAATCAATGGATGTGTAACTGATGTGATTCTGCAATCTGTATATGGGGTAAAAATGGGAGCTCATAACCCACTTGAATCAAATTGTGAAATATGATATATCAAGAACTATGTAATGTTTTGAACAGCCAACAATAAAAAATTTAAAAAAAAAAAAAAGAGGTATTGATATAAATATATTAATATGTAATTTACAGAATGTAATGTATAGGCAATGAACCCAGTTGCACATTGATCACTGAACTTCTAAATAATGTTGGGGAACTTCTCAATATCTCTTTAATTTGATCACTGGAGTATCATCTAGACTTTCCTGCAGGAATAGTCAACTAGTGAGTGGTCCAAACTTACATAATGTAATCCACCTTCATGTCTTATTGTCTAGATATTTTGATCCATATTTTTAATATTTTCATTGGAAAATTTCATATTTCTGCTCTATTTAGAATGGATCATCACTTTCCTCAAGATTTTAAAAATTAAAAATTTTAAATTTTTCATAAAACAAAAAAAATGGTGAAATTTTTGAAGTACCATGTGATGTTTTAATACATGTATATGCTTTATAGTGGTTAAATAAAATTAAGCATAGATAAAAAAAAAAAAAAAAAAAAAAAAAAATTTAAGAGGGTAGATGACAGGTTGTGTTTTTGTTATCATCTTTTAAAAGAGAAAAAACAAAAGTGAATTCTGAAAATCACAATATTAATTGAAAAAATATTTTCACAAAACAGTTATTTCATCATAACCAGCCCCCCCCAACAAAAACCCATCCCTGAATCAGATTTATATGAATTAATTATAAAAGGAAGAATAGAAATATTTAGTGTGGTTCCAAAATTAAGTTGCATAACAGGAAGATGGAAAGACAATTCAGAAAGCCTAACCAACAGCTAGTTCCTTCTTATGAATGAACATATGAAAAGGCAATATTAAATAGAATTTGAATGGTTAAGTCAACATTTTTTCTCAGAGATTTTGGTGATTATTTTAGACCCCTTGGTAGAAATATTGAGAAAAAGTCCTAAATTAAATAAAATTATTTTTCCTTTTAATATTAACTCAACTAACTGATCTTGAATTATTTAAATAATTTCAACTATTTTAATTCTACCAACAAATTGAAAAGTAATCTTCTGCTTACAATGTACAAACAGCACTACAAGTTCAGTTGTTTTTCTTTTCAAACAAATGCATAAATTATTACTTGCTTCATGTGTGCTTTAAACATGATTTATACTATTTGATAAGAATTTTGAACTCAGGGTTCTTTAAAATCGCCTCTTGTCTAAGAAATGAAGCAACAAAATAAAGGTGCAACAAAATAAAAAAAAAAGATTAATACATTACAAGAAGGAGGATAACTTAAACGGGCCATCATAACTGATGAAATCTTTTCAAAGTAGAAGTAGAAGCTAGAAGACTTTTTAGCTTTATGTGCAACTGTATGTTTGGAACTAATACGTATTTGGCATTTTCATCTAACTTAGAATATTTTTCACTCTAGATAACAAGTCATTTTAATGATTCTATAGACATACTTAGGATAAACTATACCTTGGGCCATAATCTACTCATTACAATGTAGTTCATCATTTCCCATAGTATTTAAAATTCTCTACTTAAAAGAAATATGTTCAAGTGGAGGATGAAAATGTTAAGACATCACTGAAAATAAATAATAGCTATTTAAAAACCAACAGCCCACATTGTTGTGGGAGTAGTTAAGTTTATAATAGGACTAAGAATTGAATATGGGATTAGAAAAATAATTCAATTATTAAGTTGGATACATACTGTGCCAGGTCGGGGATAAGGAATTCTTCCATCATACTGTACCCATCGATGGTCTGCACTTTCCTTATGAGCATATGGACCATTAAAAACTGCTCTGATGTCAGCCATGCTATATACACAAACAGCAGAGCCTTTGAAGATGGAGCTGAAAGAAAGCAACATGATCCAGTCATTCACAACCATCCAGTGGGCTTTTATTTTGCACATATTGGAACAGGAGCTGTGGGGACAAATATATTTGGCAAATTCTAATTGACAGGTGATGCAAAAAAAAGGGGGCGTGCCTATGTCCTCAAAGAGCTTATGGCTAAGCAATCCTGACAAATAGGTGATAAGTCTCTTGTAAATAAATGTGTTAAGCAAGCACATGGATGTATACCCAGGCCATGGCTGTCACGTAAGTTTTCAGGGAGGAAGTGAGGTCTAAATTTTTATTTAAAATTATCTAGAAAAACTGGGGGATAGAGAAGAAAATGCAGAAAATGGTACTGTGTTTTTCTATATATCCTTCAATTTTATTTGAAGTTATTATAATATAATGCCTTATAAAGAGTTTAAAATATAAAAAGTTGGGGCTGGGGATGTGGCTCAAGTGGTAGCGTGCTCGCCTGCCATGCACGGGGCGCTGGGTTCGATCCTCAGCACCACATAAAAATAAAATAAAGATGTTGTGTCCACTGAAAACTGAAAAATAAATATTAAAAAAAATTTCTCCCTCTCTCTCTCTTAAAAAACAAAGTTACATTATGTACTTTTAGTAAATATTTAGATGTTGGATAACAATCATCTCACATTTATCTTCCTTTTTGAAGTGAATGTTCAATAATGGTAAGCAAAATAAGCCAAACTCAGAACGTCCAGGGTTCTATATGTTCTCATGTATGTGGAAGCCAGAGAGGGAAAAGAAAAGGAAAGGAAGCAGGAGGTGGATCTCATGAAAACTGAAGGGAGATCAGAAGATTAGAGGAAAGGGGCCAGAGAGAGAAAGGAGGGAAGGAAAGGGGAAATACTGGGGAAAGATATCCTCCAAATTATATCATTTATGTTGTATGTGTATATGAATAGTAACAACAAATCACACCATAATGTACAATGGTAAAACACCAATAAATATATGGCAAAAAATAGTGTTCATCATAAAGTTCACATAAGTTAAATAACTTATTCATATGATGTTTATTAAACTGATTTTTTAAATGTTTAATCTTTTTTTTTTCATTTTGCTACTTGAATTGAGATTTTATAGTTACCTATCTAACACTTAATTGTAATTACATAATCTCAGAGACAGCATTTATGAGAAGCTCCATAGGAATTCTACAAAGTTTTGCACACTAATGATATAAACTGTTAACACCATCAGATAATTCTTTTTTATTTTAGTTCTGGAAGTTACAGGATATTTTCTTTAAATTTCTTTGAATGATTTCTTTCAATGATTCCTGTTATTTAAAATGAGATCACCCTTTATGATCTGAGAAACTTATCACCTTTGTTTATTGCACAAACAAGCCAACAATTCTCTAGCATGAGTAAATCAATTATTAATATTCTTGGAATGACATTAATAGGAAACATCAGGAGGTAACGGTAAACAGGCAGTTAGGAGAAAACTAGCAGCTAAGAAGAGAGGCGATGTTCCCATAAAAATTACACATCTACTATGAAATCTTAAAAGAATTCTTAAAAGAATAATGCATCATGTTTAATGGCATTGGCATTATTGCGGGCTAATTATGTCTTCTCGCTTGACAAAGACATGACATACATTCTGACATTACCTCAGTCTTCAGAGCACCACTAAAAATAAAATAACAAAGAACACCAAGAACAGAGAGCTAACTTGTAACTTCACACTCTGGGTGGGCAGAAACTTGATAGGAAAAAAAAAAAAAAAAAACTATCTTGGGGCTGCATTTCCCTGGCACATATTTGTGTCTTGTATATGAAGCACACATTGACTTCAAAGAAAGTTCTGTGAAAGGAAAGGTGCCAAGAGATCTAGGACTGAGATAATTGAGTAACTACAGACATTTTTTCTTCCTGCTTTTTTTTTTTTTTTTTTTGCCTTCTACCAGGGATTGAACCCAGGAACAGTCTACCACTGAGCTACATCCCTGACTATTTTTATTTCTTATTTTGAGACAGAGTCTTACTAAGTTGCTGAAGCTGGCCTTGAGCTTGTGATCCTCCTACCTCAGCCTCCTAAAGTGTGAGGTATAATTGTATGCAACCATACTCAGAAGTCTGCATATTTTTATATTCATATATAAAGTAACAGAAATATGAATTCCAAAATAAAAAGTTCTTAAGCTATTTTCTTTATTCTCATGTTCAAATATTAACTTCATTTTATAATTAATCAAATACTATTTTGTTTTTTGATATATTCTGAACCATTAGAGAATTTCAGTTTGTGTAGAAGGTATTATGAAGGAAATGAGGAATATTTCATAAAGAGGAAACCAAATTAGAACATGTATACAAAATAGTTTAAGGACATATTCAAAAGAATACACTAAAACCAAACAATATCATAGTTCTTCCAATATGCCTATCAACATACATTGAGAGCTGAGTTGTGGAAAGATTGAAAAATATTTACAAATTCACAAACAGTAACATGTAACTGGGGCAAAAATATGCTTTGAATATTGTCAAATGTAGGTTACTCTTGAAATAAAATGAAGACAGCGAGGATCACATCTTCTTGGAGAAAGCTTTGTAGATGCTAGTACAATTTTTAAGCAATTCACAAAGTCTTGATAATGTTTAGAAGACAGAAAGAAGACAAGAATACAGGGATTAAAAATTAGAAAAATCTCTTCTGTTCTAGTCCTACTTTTACTGCTAACTGGTTATTCTTCTTTGGGTGGATAAAGCCAACTTTCATTGTTAAAGAAGTGAACAGTGACATGGTCCTAACATCCACACTCTCATCATTTTAGGTAGCAGGACATGCAAGTAAGACATCTTGTGATGTGATGAGAAGTTAAAAGTCAAGAGAATCCCATTCATGATTAATTAATCACAGCTTTGCCAGTGAACTTAATCATTTCTCATTCATTTCTTTAGTGTTACTTCTATGTCCCTAAGTTTGTAAGTATTTATTATGAATAGTATATGCAGACATCCTTTGTACCCAGCAATTTTATGCTGAGAATTCATCTCAGAGATATACTTGTTCGCATGTGGAATGGCATGTTCTATGGTGCACGATGTGTGGCAGCAAAGTTCTAGAAACCAGGAACATACAGAGGGCTGCTTAAGTAACTTTAGTGACATAGGGGCTGCTATACTGGTTTAAAAAGAAGGAAGCAAGTTTTTATAGGGATATGAAAGATTTCTACAAAACACTAAGTGAACAGGTAAAATGGAAAACATCGTATAGCATGTTGCTATAAAGAAAGAGACAAAAATCATATAACTATATGGGTTCACATACGTATATAACTTTTCTAAAAGGATTAAAAACATTTTTTTACATACCTTGTTGTGGTGAAGACACCATAAACTACAGGATTTCTTTCATCTCGTGTGGGGAGTAAATAAATATCTTCTATTAATGGAAAAAAATAATTATTCAGTATATTTTAATTTTTAATATTACGTATATTCTTTTAAAAATAATAAATATCTCTGAAACTCTAAACAGTGTACAAAATTAAGATAACAGAGTACTATACTGTCTCTTAGGAAATTAAGGGGAAATGCAAAGCTTATATTAAAAAGAGAAATTAAGGGTAAAAGTTTTCTCACTAACTATGTGACATTGAGTTGAACATTTAACCTCTCAGTTGTTTACTTCAATCACATACACGAGGTGATCCAATTGATAATCTATGACTGTTTTCAATTATCAGGATGTAATTTCATATAAAATAAAAGCCAGAAAAAAGGAATTTTTTACCCTCTAGTGTAAAAATGTGTTATACACTCTGTGTCAACTTAGTAATTCAACTACTTATTCAATAATAATATTAAAATATTGTTTGAGTAAATAGCACAATATTGGTGGTAGATTATTTGCAAGTAATATTTGGTAAAAGAGTATTTAAGAGGTGAGTGTATTTATATATTACATGAGAGATGGCCCATGCATATTGAATATACACTTTAATAGTATCAAACACATAATAATGATAAAGCAATAGATGGTATAGATAATTATTTTACACTGCATGGCAAATCTAAACAAGTTTGAGAAGATAAAAACTAATGAAGTGTAATTTATATAAAACTAAAATGTTCTTTCTAGAATTAGCTTCTAGAATTGGGAGAAATGGGGAATAGAAAAGTCTCCTAGTCTGTCCAGCAGAGGGCGTTCACAGAATGAGGAACCTGAACTCTTCCTCTGTGTAGAAAGAGCCTTCCAAGGAAGGGAAAGGCTGCAGAAGGGATGGATAAATTTTGTATTCTGGGGACTTATATCTTCCTTTCACTTGCTGTAATTTTGTTTCCTTCACTAGTTTCTAGGACTCTTACAAAGAGAGGAGTTACTTCATGTAACTCCAGGCCTAGAGCACCCCATGTGCTTTGAGTTTGCAAATTTAGTAAGAACCATTCCTGTAAGCTGTGCTGAGTTACATATAATCAGGTATTTGGAGTAAAATATAACAAATGATGAATTGCTTAAATAGGTAGAAAGACTTTTCCAGGAAAGAAAGAACATATGACTTACGGAGCTCATCAAAATATGTATCGGCCCCATCACTTCCAGGAATGGAACAAATCAATCTGGCTTTAAGAAAAGTTGTCCATTTGTTTATCAAGCTGCGTTGTCCTCCTACATCATTCTGAAAAGTGAAAAAAAAAAAATAAAGATAAAATTTCACCAACATGATTCTGTCACCAACTATAACTGGTAGTTATTATTATTAATACAGGTGGTACATTATTAATTCTATTGTTTAAAAAATCATAGAGCCTGGATATTGAGTCTTTCAACTTCCAAATAAAGGAAAAGTCAGTTCTTTCCTTAAACCAAAGGTGATTTTCTAATGGTTAAAGGAATGCCATGAAAGCAATATAACTACTGAATGAGGAGATGCCTATAAGACTCTAGCAATCAAGGTAGGCTTGGGATCAAATCCTGTGTCTTCCAATTTTTTCTCCCATGACCCACAAAAGATTAATTTACCCAATTACTTGTTTTCTCATCAATAAAATATGATTAATGAGATCAAATGGAAAAAAATTGTATAAAATGCTTAACATAATGCCAGGCAACTTGAGTGCAATAAATGCTAGCACTGATTGTTATTATTTCTATGATTAAGAAACATTTCCAGCCTTTAGAAGAACTCTGCTTCTGTATAAACTTAAAAGTAGTCTTTTTCCAAATTTTGTGCATTTATAATTAAACATCAAGGTGACATAAATATATACATAATATGAATACACAGGAAAATGATCTTTTAAAAGATATTAGCCTATATTTTCCATAGCTTACTTTTGTTTTGAAATATTTTATTTAAAATGTTTCCTTAGGCATTTAGCCAAACAAACATTTTAATTGATTAAATAGAATAAGAACAATTGGGCTATTTAATAATCCAGCAAAAAAAGATTTTTAAATTAATTTTTAAATTAATATGTCCCTGTGAACATTTGATTATTATGATTTTTAATTTATCTGACTCAGCCAACCCTGCTATTCTTATAATAAAAGAGCAAGACTGATTCATGGAATAAATATACAATGTATTCAATTTCAAGTTTTAAAAGGTACTCTTGGAGCTACTTTTTCCATTAACTTATCTTTATTTAAATGTTATACAATTTTTTTTTATCCTTCATTACATGATGTTCTATAAAGTTAATGAAAAGTTAACTGTCATGTTTTACATCTGAATATCTAGGAACTATCTTCTCTGTGCTTCTTTATCTCCAAAATAAACCAAATTAGAGAAAAGCATCCAAATGATAATTCTAAGCAAGAGAATTCAAGTCATACATGTACTTCTTATACCAAACAATAATTATTTTTTTTAATTTAAAGACATGAGTTTTCAGTAAAATATGTCTTATATGAGCTAAAAATGTACATTTAACAAACATTTATCACACTTCACAGTTTGCACTTACTGTGTTAATTTTGCATGATTCCAAATCACGATAAATTTACACGTGGAACATGTTCAGCTCAGTTCATGTGTGCTGGGGACTAACCATACATATAAATGTCCACATAATATAAACATAATGACTAACAGCATTGTTTAGAACCAGCATCAACAAAACACTTTCCTAGTTGTAGTATTTTGTCACTGATTCTGAAGCCAGAATTAAAAGAGTGTCAGTGTAGATAGGTAAATCCAGTCAGATCAGATCAAGGAGGCCAATTTGGGTCTGGGAAGTTGGAGATTGAAATGCTAATGCCTTCAGAGCCCTTCCTCCACCCTAATCAAGATAACCTGCCCCTGCTCCAACCTGTTGCTAAGGGAACTAGTCTCAGGGATTGTCCCTACAGGGAGTTTTTAATTAGGCCCCCTTCCTGCTTGGCTCCTCCAGCCCATCTGCTTCACACCTTTTGGCCATCCCATGGAGCATATCCTGGGCCTAGTCTATATGCAGAAAGGAGAGAGATAAGGCAAAGAGAGCAGGAGAATAAAGGAAGCTTAGGACATATAAAAAAAAGCAGAACACCCTCACTTTGGGGGATACCAGGATAACAGCTATGGCCTCCTTCTCCCTCTTGGGAGAAGTCTATGTTACTCCTTTTAAAATAAACCCTTCTTGGGCTGGGGATATAGCCCAGTTGGTAGAATGCTTGCCTTACATGCACAAGGCCATAGGTTGTAGCCCCAGCATAACCCCTACCCCCTCAAAAAAAAGTTAAATAAACTTGCTTATATGCTTGCCTCAGCACTGATAATTGGTGGTATCAATGCTGTTGCTGGCTTGTGGTGATAATAAAATGCATGATAGCTGCTAGTTGTGTTCCAGTAGTTTTTAATTCTCAACAGAAAATGCATTCCTTATTGTCTTAACTCAATGCTTACTCCAGATATTTCACTAATACCCTGCCAACCAATTTAATAAACACTTAATAAATAACTGAAACTACAAGTTAAAATCGACAAAAGTGTTTTGAAATGAATAGAGAGCCAAGGAGAGCCTTTTCTGAAATTTCTTTAAATAGGAAAATGAAGAAAGGCTTCACAAAAGAGTTAGATTTAATACTAAGCCTTTATGATAGGGGGGCTCAGACTACATGTGTAGAGACTGGTTCAGAAGAAACTTCAGTTATTTAAAGTTAGGTGGAAAGAACAATGGGTCTAATATCCAGAACTCGTTGGGAGACAAATTTGGTTCACATGAAGACTGGGATCAATTAAAATAGTGAACAAAAATGTAATAAAAGTAAATTGGAGTAAGATCAAGGAAGGCTTTGATATCAGGCCAAAGTGTCTGTATGTTAATAAGCACATGATGAAGAACTACTAAAAGATGTAATGATTAGCAAAGAAGTGAAATAATTAAGAGTTTTCTTTCAAGGAAACTAAATGGTATATTATATAATGACCTGTAACAAGTATGTATATAATTGCTCTTGAATTTTAATTTTGTGTATGGTGCTTCTATTATTTGGGTATCATTTCTCAGATACTATTCCATCTAACAACTGGGTGATTTCAGGCATCTACAGAGGTGAAGACAGATTTTATCTACATATAGGTTATTTTTAGGCTCATATCCTCTGATCATTTTATCATTAAATTTAGATATTAAAATGAATGGGCAAAAATATTGATGCTTCCTCCTAATGTACTAATGGATTATGTGCTCATGTATAGTAGGAGTCCCATGAGAAAATGTGTGCATACATTACCAGAAAGTAATGGATTTTTAAATGAATTTGAAAATACAAAGTGACTTATTTCTCCCTCATTTCATAATCCTTGATTTATATCTCTTAAAGTCACATCTCCAGCCTTTTATGTTTTGGCAATTCCCAAGTTGTTCTAAACCAAAGTCTTTATAAAATGTTTTTATTTTAATACATTAACTTTCCATATATATGTATGATATTATTAAATTTCCTTGCCTATATTTGTATATTTTGGAAGAGTTGGCAGTGAATACTAAAAATAGTGTTGATTCAATATACATAAAAATATATATGGTGATCATGAAAAGGATTATGTTTGATTTAGTACTTCACCCTAATAGAGAGTTGGTGCTTAAAATATTTTAAATAAATAAACATATACTTAGCATTCTGTTCAACAACATTTCTTTAACAGATGCAGGCAACACATCATAAAAATGAGTCATCAGGTTCTTTTAAACATTCTAGTATATAAAAGTGATGATAAATCTCATTTTCATACATTTCCCCCATTTCTTTTATTTTTAAAATTTTTTTGTAATTGTAGATAGACAGCATGCCTCAATTTTATTTATTTTTATATGTGGCACTAAGGATTGAACCCACTGCCCCACACATGCTAGGCAAGTGCTTTGCCACTGAACCACAGCCCCAGCCCCATTTCCCCCATTTGTATTTACAATTTTCTCCCATACTTAATGGTAGCCATGAGAAAATTCTAACCTACTACCTCCAAATCTGTTGGATAAGAAAGGAATTTATACTACACCTGTATTTTTTTAACCTGACAAATGAAAATTACAATCTTTCAACAAAATCATCTTCAAACATTCCTGCCTACCCAACCATCCAGCAGCCTTTTCCAGCCCCGCAAGAAGTAAAAGGATAAAAACAAACAAACAAAAAAATCCAGGTCAAAGATGAAAGCCACCTGCTGTCAGGAGGGAAGGAGAATAGTTTCTGGCATGAAGGCTTTTAGTAATAGGTTATAAGCATTTAATGACCAGATAGTAACTCTTGCAGACATCCAGAAGCCCTACCTGGGATGACAAAGTTCAATTCACAAGCAGTTGTATTTCTCCCCTAGGGAAGTCAGTTGGGCTGACTTTGTTGACCAGCTCTAGGTCCCTGGATTTGTTAGCAAATCCACACAATCTACCCCTGAGAACTTTAAGCCCACAAGGGGACTGAAAGGGGATAATCACTTTTGTACTAAATTGTCACCTCCTTGCTTATTTTTGTGAAGTTCTAAAGAATACAACCATCTCACCAACACAATAGATTTACTATTGAGATGTCAGAATGAGGAGCTCTTTAGTCACCAGTCACTTCTATGTGTCTCCACTCTATTTATCACACAGCCTCTTTGTGGCCAGGTTGCCAAAAGCCTTGACATCCTTTACAAAGATGCAGATGAAAGTAACAAAGAAATGAAATGTAAACAAGCCTGATCCCATGTGCTCTATCTGGGTGGTGAGTAAAGAACGCCTGCTTACTTTTTCTCTGTAGCTTTTATGTTTATGTTTGCAATGTTTCTTAATTTTAAAGTGACAAAAAAAAAAAAAAAAAAGAAAATATAGTACCACCAAGTCATGTGATTGGATGTTAGCTGCACCTTATGAATTGTTATGATCTTCCAATTGTAGCATCTACTAACAGGTAGTCATGATGATGCTAATGGTTACTACATTTTCCTTCTACCAGCACACACAACTTCTTATAAATCTTACATGGACATGTAGAGTAGCTAGAGGCTGTCACACATGAACTTTTATTGAGTGTGTCTTTTGACCTCTAGGTCATGATTCTGGGTTCATCTGGTAAACATGGCTTTATCTGTATACACCATCCTTTTTGAGGCTTTCTCAGCACTTAACATTATTTTCAATTATACACTGGGAAACAGAAGTTGTTGGAAATTGTGATAATTGGCTTTAAATTTATATGCTCTTAAATCCTGAA